TTATTTATTTATTATTGGTGTTGGGAATCAAACCCAGAGTCTCACACATGCTAAGCCAGTGCTCTACCGCTGAGCTCCATTCCCAGCTTCTTTCTCCCAAGTGATTTTCAAACTAACCTCCCATGCTCAGTAACTGTTTTTAGTTAGAGGCCTTTTTAAAGAAGTGTATTTCCCAACTGGGTCAATGTGGACCTTTCAGAAGTGTGCAGTGCCGACTGAGCTGGTAAAGGACTCTGAGAAAGCTTGTTTTACCTGGATAGAAAATGAGAGGTAAATGGCTACTGAGAAATACTCCTTAAAAGTATGTATGAACTAAATCATAAGATCTGGAGTGTTACTTGAAAATAATCCAGAAGGCATGTTGTTGACTAACCTCTGAACAGGGATATCGGTTAACCCAGGGAGGCCCTGGGTTGATTTTTCTTGTAGCCGGATAACAGGTAAATTGGAATTTGCTCGTTTCCCTTCTGTGTATTTTCAAATTTTCCCTAACAAAAATAAAAACAAAATAGAGTGAATTCTTAATAAATAGGATTAAGCAAAAAGAAGGAAAATCACCTCATTAATTCAGAAAACATCTATTTGAGTACGCCATAATCAGAGCTCACAGTTAGACAATAGTTTTCCATTTTCAGAACCCTTGAGCCCTTCAATAGATATCCTATGGTCTTGATTCAAAGAAGCACTTTCTTATTTTAACGTTAAAGAAATCAGAATGCATTTTATAATTGGTATGGACAATTAACATCATGCTTCTCATACCCCACTCCAAATACAAATGCAAGATCCATCATTTAGTCAAGTATGCTTCTGACAGTGAGTGACCACTGAGGAGAGAGGAAACAAGGGTCTTGACTGAACAACCCAGTGGCTCCCAGAGCTACAAAAGTGCACTCAAGGAATCTTTATTACTATGAGGAAATAGTTCAGATTTGTGCAGTGACTCTCAAAGTCACATAGTTCTTTGGGGGGAGGGATTGAACCCAGGGTTTCTCAACCACTTGAGCCACATCCCCAGTCTTTTTTTTTTTTTTGTAACCATCATATCCAAACTCTTATTACTTTGTAGTAAAACATTACAAATCTACTAATTTGAAGTATACAATAAATTATTTTTTACTTGAAACATTTTTATGTTTCATTATAAGACAGGTTCTCACTCAATTGCTTAGGACCTCATTAAGATGCTGAGGCTGGCTTTGAACTTGTGATCCTCCTGGTTGAGTTTTCCAAGCTGCTGAGATTGCAGGTATGCGCCACTGCAC